TACATATTGTAATTAATCTTTCCTCTAGGTAATCTTTAGAGGTGCCTTACAAAATGATGCTCGCGAGTAAATTTCATCCTTGAGGTTAAAGTAAATAATTATAAAAATATCATATCATTTAGAACATACCCTGTTGCTTGAAGCAGCCTGGCTAAGTAATGCACGAAGTCTAACCAGTTGGGACCCTTAGGTCAAGTTCAATATGCCGCGTGCCATTACCTGTGATTGTAACGCTTGCATTCATCAATGTTTGTTTGATCAAACGAGCCTTGGATATCAAGAATTCATTTTATTGATTGCAGGGTATGGATAATTTACAAATATGAATACACGATATTAGACATTTGGGCATGGCTGTGGCAAATCTTGGTAAATTCAATTTGAAAAGAAAACAAATAATGGTACAGAACTGATTAATACACGGGCTCCTCTCATTCTTCCACTTCGTTTGACTGTGATGGCTCCACAACCGGAGGTATGCAATCCACTTTGTAGCGCAGGGCCTGTTCAAGAAAAGTAATGAAAGTAGCAATATGGTTTATAATACCCAGTATAAAGCAAGTGGACAGATCAGCTTGGAGCTTGCATAACTCGAGACATCTAATAAGAGTCACAAATCAGGTGGAAAACCAGGAGGAATAATAAAGCGATTTCAAACACCACTTATGAACAACTTCCTACCTTTTTGAAAAAAGCTGAATATGAATTATCCCATAAGAGTTTGTAGTTCCCAGCCATGCATGTGCAGAAGTTCCCCTACAAAGATATGGATGAAGTTGGGGACTATGGAAAATATATTCTATCCAACAGTAAAAATAAAAAATAGGCAAGGCAACAGATGCAGTAACTTACTTGGTCAGATTCATAACGTTTGTAAGGCAATATTAGCTGATGGATATCACCCATACCCCAGCGGAATACAGGACAAGAAATGAAGTCAAATACATTAACAATAAGATAAGACAGACGGAAGGAAAATGGTGCAGGGGACAGGAAAAAGAAGCTAGGAAGAGGCAAAATAAGAATGGATGATGGCAACTTAAAAAGCTTAGAATTTTAGAAGAATTCATAACATCGGAAGGAGATTATGAAATATGATGGTCCAACTTACTATTTTCTCCCCAGCAGAATTTATGTACTCCACACAAAATCCAATGTCCTGACAGCAAGAATGTTAAGTATCAGCAAGAATGTATGGTAGAAGAATAGTTAACATACCCTGATAAATGAAAATAATAATCTAGTAAGCCAAAAACTAAAGGAAAAGTTGATGAGGTTTAGTTACAATACCATGCTCATCTTGCCTTGGATAACTGAGAAGTCCCAAGCAATGTAAGAGTTTATTGATTCCACAGTCAATGAAACCTACACAAGTAACGGTGACATAAATTAAATAAAAAGAAAAGGTTTATTTTTGGTGGAATAGTTGTTTCATAATCGAACTTTTATCAACAAACCAATGTCACCCTCTTTTAAACTTAACCTAACGGAAAGACAAATTCTCAAGAAAAGAAAAGAAGTTGAATGGGGCAAGGACTGGGCAATTTCCCCCATCCTGTCTGGATTAATTATATTTAAACAACCATTATTTTTTGCATGCTGGCTTATAAGTACAAGATTTTAGTTTTCAAACTGTGTTTATTGACTTGGAAATGCAGAGGTATAGAGACAGAAATCCCCACAGAAAATTGGGATTGGGACCATTCTCACTCCTCTACCATCCCAACAGGGGGGGAAGAACCATGTAGTGTATATATTAAAAATCAATGTCAGAGTAAAATGTTTTCAAGTCTGTCTAAATCTGAAACAAATTCAGTGTATTTATTTTGCCAGTTCTTTTAGTGTTGTAGTGCTGGAGCTTATTAAGTCATATACCAGCACTTTGCTAAGCTTCTTATACAAATTTTCTTTGTTATATAAACTATATGATTGAAATGACAGACTTCAATGACTTGTACAAATAACCAAGGTAATAAAGTAAGCTAAAAAAATAGTTTTGAGAACAAACCTCATAAGTTTTTCCGGCTGCAACATTTATCTCCTTGTAGTCATCATTTTTCCTGAGAATAAAAAACTAACATAACTTAAACAGGAATTAGCAATAACAAGATTATTCAAAAACTGTATACTTACCCTCCATCTAATGCACTGGATTCCTCTGCTGAAATAAAGAAGGGTGAATTTGCAAAAACCTCACTGAAATAAACAAAGAAAATGTGGGAGGGTATGATTAATATGTAAACAGCTGAAAGCCTAACAACAATACAGTGCCAACAAACACCTTTAACAAAAAATAAGAGTATAATTCACTTTATACTTGACCATGCATCGGCAAGAAAGGAAGAATTTTACATCTCAAAAAATATAAACAGAAAGCCACATCAGTGGTCATTCCCATGTTTCAGCATGTCTCAAGTGGAAACTAGAATTCAATAAGTAAGGTTCACAGTTAATTATTAAATTGATCATCTAAAGTACTGTTCCATGTAACAAATGGTGAAAATGGAATCAGCCTCAATAAAGAGCAAGTTAGTCTTAGAATCTATTGAAGAAAATGAATATTTATCATTCATGTTGTTATGAAATTTTAGAAACTGCAATATTGTATCTAAAAATGGTTTTTAGAAGAAATTCACAACCCATACATATGCAGGAAGCAAAGGATAATACCTGATGAAAGAGATAAATCTCACAAACTCAGAGGTATACACTTCAGCTGCTTCTTCCAGGACAGTGATCTGATGCCTCTTTCTTCACAAACATAGAAAATTTCAAATAGATATGAAGATACAGGGAAAATAGAAAAATGTTGCTAACCCAGCAGGCAGGATAAAGTAAGCATCTTAGTTGATCCAGTAAACTCCTAGGTAATACTAGTTGTTTAGCATGTACATACATGGAAGTAAAGTAAGAATAACAATAATATAAAAAGAGTGGAAGATATCTCACAGTTTACAAGCCTCAAATCTCTCCCATGCTAGTGAAACAAAGAGTCGAATGGAAAGCACCATCCTGGTAAGGCTATACAAAGGGGGTCCATACCGTGATCGTGGCTCTTCCATGGGCCTATTTATGAGAAGATTCCATGTCATTAAGATTTAGGAGAATTCCTCACTCACTCTGTTAAGTGGACGAGGAACCATATAAATTACATCCAGAATCTAGACCAGAAAAAGCCTACCCATCATCATCATTTATTTGCTGAATAAAATCCAATAAAACCTGCACAACAGGAAAAGAGTCAGACAAACAAGGGCTGGTGATGATTAAAAAATGCTGAACGTTTCATTCTACTAAATTTTCTTCAAAAGCCACCATGTTTTCTGATTGTTTCATTTCTTCCACTTGTTAATTTGTTTTGAATCATAGCCATTGGAGATGGTGAAATGCATGATAATAGGTATAACTCTATGAGTGATGCATAGAGACAAAACCCAAATTAAACCCTTGAAATTGACACCAGCACAAAACAGCAACTCTCTTCCAATTGACAACAATTCTTTAGCCCCTATTGCAGTCCAACAGCCAAATCCAACGTCAATCAGATCAGTCTTTTCTTTCCTTCATTGCTTTATTCCTTTTGCCTTTCTATCTTTATTCAACTTATTCCCCATCCTGTCCCTTCTCCATCTCTCTCCTCCTTTTCTTCTTCTCCTCTTCTTCTATGTATCTACACTTCAGACTTCTCGGTCCAACATCCAATTTTTCTTCTCCCTTACCAATTATCATCTTCAGTGGCTTTCCTTTCCCCTTTTTTTTATTCCTGATCAGCCACTTTTACAGTTTACTATAATTCTTCTTTTTCCACTTTGATAAATAATAAATAGAAGGATTGTTATATTTTCTAGGATTAGTTTGACAGTAGACTATGCAAATTGGCACTTTAATATCTTACTCTTCTACATTTTGAGAAAAGTGTTTTGCAGATCATTCTCCTAAATTTTTTTTGGAGGACTTGTCTAATAACTCATCTTCTAATTAATATTTTTAAAAACTAACCATTGAATTGAAAGTTCTATTCATATAGATCATACATACCAATTTTCAAATTGTTTTAGTAAGCCTAACCACTTCACTGATTATAGGAAACTTAGCATCGTTAAACATATGTCAATAAATAGAGTTTCTTTGATTAAAGGATTACAAGTCTTAGATCAAAATGAAAATTGACATGCATGATCTACATGAATAGAACTTTCAATCCACTAGTTGGTTTTTGAAAATATTAATTAGAAGGCGGGTTTTTAGACGGGTCCTGCAAAAAAAATATTTTGGAAGGGCATCTGGCCCTACTCTCTCCTCTTTTAAGTTTTATCTTGCACCCTTGGTAGTGTATATTTTCTTTATAATATTTTCATGGTTTAGTCAAATTCGTAAATTAGTATCAAATATATTTTGATAGTTTTGGACTCAGATATTTCTTGTAAGTTGTTGTTGCTTTCTAATGAACAATATATGAAAGCATTTTATATAAATGTTCTCTGTTAAGTGTGTGCCTACCCTTCATCAAGCTAACACCATACACGTAAGCGTTGTGCTTGTGCCTAGTTCCCATGTCACTAGGGACTGTTGGCACTCTACTCCCCCTGGTCAGCTATGACTATATGAACATATAAAGCCATAAACTTTAAGGCCAAATTATGACTCATCAACAACTTTAGAAAGATTTACTTTTTCTAATTGAACAAACATATAAAATCTGAGAAAATACAATACATTCAGCATAAGTTCATGAGCTATTTGGCTAATGAAGAAGCACTAACAACACCAATAAGAAGAGTACATTGCTGCACAAGAACTTCAGATGGAGGTGTAACAAAATTTTGCTAACATTTCGTGCATAACAATATCAAGAAAACATTGCTGACAGATCTTTAAAGAATGACTGAACTGCAACATCATTGGCAGAAAACAAGATAGATGTGTGGCACATAAAACTAACTTCCAGGACATGAAGCACAGGCCCACAGAAGTGTGTAAATAGGTTCAATGAGGCCAAAACCAAGAAAACATGGAAAATGAGAGGATACAATGACATACCTGTGGAACTCCAACCAAGTATTTTACAAGGGCTTTGTAAACACCAGTTGCAGAACCAAGCTGAGCTAATTGTATCCTCCTGACAAGGCAGTGAATAACAAATTTAATGAAATCATTTAAATTTTGCAACACTATTTGGAAAACAAAGATTCATGTAGTTTAACCTGTCCATTTGTTGTTTCCAAAGCAAAGCATATCGATCACGTATAGTTCCACCAGCACTAACTAGAGCATCAACTGCTGCTTGCTTGTTCCTCTCTGATCTCTCCCTTTGTTGTCTGATAATTTTTCCTCGAAAATCTTGAGGCAAGTATGTCATAACTACAAATGGCAAATAAAGAATGTCACTTATGAAACTATAATTTCAACCAGGCATCATGCTAAGAAAACTACAAAAATACTAGGGACCACAAGTAAGCTCATACATTCATATCTAACCTAGAAAAATCACATTTTTTAGAACTCTAGGATGCATAGCAAACGCATATACATATGACCTTAAAAGCAGTTTACAAACAATTGGGCATGTAGTATAAACATATTAAATAGTTTACAAACAATGCTTTCTTAGAAAATCAACAAACAAAGAATACCTACACTCTACAGAAACACTAACAGACATAAACATACTTAAATGCATATGCATCTATGTATATAATAACAAGTATGCATGCATTTGTATACGAAATTAAACATGTATAAAAACACAATGATACATGCACTTGACAGAGAGAGAGAGACAGAAACAAGAGAAGAAGGTTACCTATGTCAAATACACGTTCAGAATTTTTTTCTTGGAAAGATACCAGTGTACTAAAAGTTTTTTCAAATTTATCTTTAAGCTGTCCAAAGACATTAGCTAATTCAGAGTCCTCAGGTGTCAACGGTTGTTGAAGCTGCAATAACGGCAATCATTATAAACCACTAGAACTCATATGATGTTAAACCCTGGGTCAATGAAACTTAATAATGCAGTGATGTAAAAAGCCCAATGCAAGAAAAAGATGGCACCTTTTGCCTTGACGGTATTACATGGTAAACTTCATGCATCTTACAACAGCTAGCCAATTAACAATACAAAGATGCATAAAGCTAAAATAAAGCAAAAGATGGCACCTTCAGCCTTCATGTTATTATACGAAAACTTAATGCATCTTACCGCAGCTGGCCAACGCGATCTTTCCAGTAAAAAAATTATCTCTTCTATATTCTCCCTATTCTTCCACATGTTTTCATCAATTTTATGTGGAGGTTGACTGTCTGCTTCTTGAATTAGTATGCTCTCACCTAGAACGCAAAAGAAATAACAAGCAATTTGAATGAATTATGAGATCCTTCTTTAACAAATTCGTGCAAGCCCAAACAGAAAATTCCCAGTTTTTTAGTTTCCTGATCAATGTTGGTACTTCTTCTTTCTAATAATTAAGCTACAATCACAGATAAGTAAAGGGAGAGCATCATATGAGCTTAAAAATTGCAAGTAAATTTGAATGCAAGCAAGGAAAATTGATATAAAAAGAAAATGGGAGGAACCTTGTGTGGGGGGAGACTCATGCAGCAAATCTTGGGCGAAACCGCGAATCTGAGAAGAAAGGCGGGGAATATCGTCGGAGAGAGGCTGCAAATGGTACTTGTCATAATAAGAAGCGAGGAAACTTCTTGTTATGGGCATAAGACCATCGGTGGACGCCATTGTTGCACTTTGGCCTGATTGCCTCTCCCTCAGCTTCTGTCAGCGTTGATTACTAGCAATATCAGTACTTCAGATCGTCGGGATCTGACCGGAAACCACCGAGTTCTTCGCCAGAAAGATCAACGGGAAGGAATACGGATCAACGGGAAGAACGACGGAAGAATCAAATGGAAGTCCACGCAAACGCTGCCGTTTGTGTTTGATATTTCGGTGAGGATCTCGCGTCTTTATTATTTTATTATTCCGACAGAAGCCGCCCCTTTGGAAAAAGAAAACTTTTAAACCGAACCCCTGAATTTATTTTAGTCTCAATGCAGCTCTCAAAGTTATTTTTGAGCCACTTAAGTCTGTAGAAATACGGAAACCACAAATGAAAGAGACCAGGTGACTGTTATGTATGCTCAGCCTTCCTTCTATGTTTTTTCCATTTGACTATTACTTCAAAGGCTAGGTTGGTGCAGGAACAAGATCTAATTCTTTATAGAGAGTGTGATAAAAAGATAATTCATCATAAATCTTCTACTTATAATGGGATGTCGTATATTTAATTTTGTTGAGCGATAAAAGTCTCATATAAAAGAAAAAAAAGTGTATTAAGCATAAAAGAGCTACTTTTAATTATGCTTGATTGATTTTAAATTTGATACTTATGTTGTGTTTTATCTTACATATCTTCACTTTTTTTATTTTTGATCAACCTTACATATCTTCACATAATATTAAAACATGAACATCAGCTTATAACCCCTTCTTAACTAACCCTAAAATAGGCTCTAGAACTCTACCATGTCTACACATTAGGGAAGAAATAAGGAAAGATGGGCATAATCCTCTAGAAACCCTCTAACTCTTTTTTTTTTTTTTTTTGATCACACATTGAAAGGATTTTTTTTTTTTTTTTAAGACTATTAGTTCCTCAACATAAATTTTACATGCTTTAACTCATAAATTTTACATGCTTTAACTCATAAATTTTATATTATTGTTGTAATTGACTTAAAACAGACAGAATCTCATCATGTGCGTAGTTACCCTTATTTAGTTACCCTATCATCTTCAATGTTATTTTGATATAAATATGGTTTACTTAGATCAATAGATCTAGGAAAAATACCACCCAAGATGAGACCCATTTGTGCTTGGATAGGATTTTTTTGCCTCCATGGTTCCAAGTGGATCTTATTTATGATAGAATGGTATTGATGATGATAGGGTAATGGCATAGAGGTGACCATTTGACTCGTATGATAAAATTCTATCTATTTTTGACCAATTACAATAATAATATAAAGTTTATAGACTAAAACATATAAAGTGAATGTTGATGGGCTAATGAGGGTTAAGCCAGAAGAAGGACTGGGTTGATTTCCTTCCATTCTATTTAATGGGTTTACATTTTGGAAAGAGGGATTTAAACCTTACTCCTTTGGTTGAAAGATCCACTTTACTATAAGATTTATGATTATTCTATCTTTGGGATTTTGTTTGGTTAATTTTTTTTTTTTTTTGAACAAATGGTCATGGGCGGGTCAAACCCACTCGAGGAAAGAGAGATGCACCTTTTATTGTAACAGTTGCCACTAAACCAAAAAGTCAGGTGTGGGATTTCGTTTGGTTAATTGTTAATTTTAAAGTTTAAATTTTAATTTTTATTAAGAATCAAAAGTGATATATATATATTTTTATATATATATATTTTTAAACAAGAATAATAATTAATAAATTAATTTTATTAATTATTAATAACAAAAAATTTGATATTAAGATTTAATAAACATTTTACCTTCCTCAACATGAGATCTACCTTAACGAGACACGCTACCCATGAAATTACTTGGTGGTGTTTATATATATATATATTGAATCAGTCTTATTGTAAAATACATTTTCCATTTAGTAAAACTAAAAATAAGAATTTTCACCGCATTTGGCCGTGTGGTCCAGTGACTAGAGCAACTGAAAAATGCACATCCCCTCTCACGTGCGGGTTTCGAACCCGTCCATGACAAAACTGTTTAAAAAAAAAAAAAAAGAATTTCCAACAAAAAAAAAACTAAAAATAAGAAAAAATGAAAACGGAAGAGACAACTAGAATCGATGGTGCAGAGACCAGAGCTAAGGTAACAGCTGGGTGGCGTAAAAAAGGCTTTTCCATCCTAAGGAACCCTAGCGAAAGTACCCAATGCCTAAAGGTGACAAAAGAGCACCGCCAATTCTGGAATGGTCAATAAAACCTCAAAAATGGAATAAAGTTTGGGGGATATTGAAATTCGCTACAGCCAGGGAAAATTTCCAGCCATGAGCAACACACCGGCAAGGCAACTCGTAGGCGGTGCGGCGGCCGTGGCCGTTGCTCTCGGATTCTACTTCGGCGTCGCAAAAAATGGCATGCCGCTGGGCTTGGGCTTGGGGCTGCCTCTCTGGAGGAAAATTAGGAGGAAGAAGAAGATTGTGCGGGTTTACATGGATGGCTGCTTTGATATGATGCATTACGGCCACTGTAACGCACTCCGTCAGGCACGTGCCCTCGGCGACCAACTGGTGGTCGGCGTCGTCAGCGATGCGGAGATCATTGCAAACAAAGGCCCGCCGGTTACTCCTCTTCATGAGAGGTACGTGATTTCCCTGTGCCATCGACTTTGAAGCTACGTAAATTGCTGAATTGGGTTCAATTTCGGTGTTTATTGTTCTTAGGATGATTATGGTGAAGGCGGTCAAGTGGGTCGATGAGGTCATTTGTGATGCGCCCTATGCAATCACGGAAGATTTCATGAAGAAACTGTTCAATGAAT